AGTGTCTGCCCGCGGCCGCGAGGCGGCCGCCAGGTCGGACGCGTCCGGCTGGCCGGACTCCGCGGCGTCTCTGGCCGAGGCGGGGCCGAACGTGGCGCCGGCGTGCGGCAGAAGCCGGCCGAGGCGCGGCGGCGAGGCGAAGAGGCCCGGCGGCGACGAGGCCGACGGCGAGAGGCCGGCCGTGCTGCAGACCGCCTCGTAAGGACGGACCAATCGCAGTCGAGCCACGTCGGCCGGCGCCGCGAGCGAGCCACTCGAGCCCACTGCCGGCATCAGCGACAGCGGCAGCGGCAACGAGAGCGGCAGCGGCAGCGGCAACGGCAGCGGCACGAGGCCGCGTGGCGACGGCGAACCGGTCGCCGAGGCGGCGACCAGTCGTCCCGTCGGTCGGGCGTCGGCAAGGCCGAGGCCGAGGCCAAGATGGGCCGGTTGCGGCGAGGCCGGCGGTGGCGGGCCGGCGGCTGCGCCGCTAAATCCGGGACAAAAAGAGTCGGGCAGAGGCGACGCGGCGGTCTGGAGCTGGCCTCCGGCCGCCTCTCCGAGGCCGAGCGCCGGGCTCTCCAGACACGCCGGCGTCTGGTAGCCCGGCTGGTATGCCTGTTGCGACAGCAGATGCTGGTGCTGGTGCTGGTGCTGATGCTGATGCTGATGGTTGTAGAGGTGTGTGTAGGGCGGCGGCGGCGTCTGTTGAGGCAGCAGATGGACGGGGTGTACATGAGGGTGTGCCTGTTCAGGGGCCGAAGAGTAGGCAGGCGTGTGCGTCTGTAGTTGTGCCAGTTGCGGTTGGGGCTGATGGTGGTGCTGGAGCGGCTGCAAAGGGTGCAGGTGGGCAGCCGACGAAGCCGCCAGCAACGGCGCTGATGGCGGTGGCAACGGTTGTTGTGCTGGTGGTGCTGGCGGATGCTGCAGTTGAAGATGATTGGGAGAAACGAGCTGAGGGGACGAGGGGAGGCCGACGACATGGGCCGGGCCCAAATGCTGGATCGCATGTGAGTGCTGGTGCAGTTGGTGCAGGGACGGTTGGGCTTGCAACTGCGGCTGTAACTGGGGCTGTAAATGTTGATGTTGATGTTGATGTTGATGCAGATGTGGATGTGGATGACCCTGCAGGTGGTGGGCCTGTGGGTGTTGGAGTTGATGCTGCAGTTGGTGATGCAAATGATGCTGCAAATGGTGTTGCAATTGATGCTGTTGTTGTTGATGTTGTTGCTGTTGTTGCTGCTGCTGCTGTTGCTGCAGCTGCTGCTGCTGCTGTTGATGATGAGCATGATTATGCTGGTGTTGTTGCTGATGATGCTGCTGTTGCTGTTGATGGTGTTGCTGCTGTTGCTTGGCCAACTGTTTCTCCTGCTTACGATATTTGGCCCGACGATTCTGGAACCATACCTGAAGTGAGAGCCAAGCGGGAGGAGATGAATGCCTTTTTACAAGTTATTGTCACCCTGGAATTGTATGAAAGGCTTTTTTTCTTTCATACAAACAATTGAACTGGTATTGCTCCAAATCCTGTCTCAAAATGACACTGACGAAATCTTATATTCGTTAGAAGTAGACTAATCTTGCACAAAAGTTCCATTCACTCCTAGTCGCATAAGGTGGCATAGGACCGATAGTTGAATGTTTTCCCACATTAATATGATTAGGCTTGACGGCTACACAAAAATTCAATTTATTTTAATTATTGTGCATTTCTACATGCTTAATGGGCTTTTGCTTTGCTAATGTTTAGCATGAAGGGATAAACGAAATATTAGCACACATTTGGTGCGTATGTGTATATAAATTGTCTGAGAAGGAGAACCCTTAGGTCGATCTCATCGGAAAACGAAATCCGATTCATGTTGTTCTGTATTCATTTATCATATCGACGTAGACATTACGGTCCATGTAAATCCAGAATAGAAGCAGCCAATAGCTAGTCATCGTCTTCTGATGGATGCGGGCCTCGAACCTCTTTATCTGATAAAAATGTATAATTCAGGAAGTACTTTATTCCCTGAATAATCAGTTTGGTGTATGGATGATTGACTTTTTTGCCGCTTGGCAACACGACAAAGTAAGCCTGAAAAACTTCATAAAATCAATGAATTAAATGTCTTGCTAACCTTAAGTCACCAGTGGATATAAGCAGGATTGTAATTTGAACTTTTTAGATTTCGGATTTATCACAAAGAAAACCAAATTGTGTAGATGTGTATAGGAAACCACACAAAAGTGGGTTTCTTGTTCAATTTTTATTTACAATGTCTGAACTATGACTCTGCCCCTTGCAGCTATTGATCATCGTAACAAAGGGCTAAAGCGATTATTATAATCACCAGTTAGTATTAATTTATAATTATTTTGAAATATTCGCATATATGCTGGGGAACACATTTATTTGGAGCAAGCTAGGCAGCTGTGCCCGAAAGTTTGCAGCATACTAACTCTCGAACAAGTTATTCAAACTATTATGGAAATGGGACACCGCGAAGATACGAGTGAATATCACTTAGCCTTGCCTCCTAAGAGTTAATCTCATTCGGGATGGGCTGTAGCACCCGCTCAGGTTTCATCAGCAAGCGTTTGCCATTACACTCAATGATGTTACTTATTTTCGCTTTAAGTAGTCTTTCTTGAATAGGAACTCATTCAAGCTAGCTCACATTTGGTGGCTTAAAATTGATACAATTTTGTGTAAAAGTCAGTGACATCGTTTGGCCTACTTGTGTCATTGTGGAAAACCTCAATTACCAGCCTTTTAACCTTTTTAAGCAACTTTGACTGACTAATTTTCTATCTAAATGTGTCTTAACTCAAAGAGCTATTATATGAGCAACCATTTTTAAGCTCTTGATGCCCCGGCCGGATGCCTCAGATTAGGTACAAGTCTACAGAAGAGTCGCTTCGAAAGGTATTACGATAGTGGGCTGCTCAGGCTCTCCAATTGTCTGGCTCCCTCCTCACATGCAAGTCTCTTTTCCCATTAGAGAAATTTAATTTTTGTATAAAAGTATTTGTAATTCGAGTCCTTCAGAAGACCAGTCTTGCAAAACTTTAGAATGCCATCATCAGCACTAAATCATGCTTCAGATTAGAAGAAGATTCAACAGGCTAAAGACCTAGCTTAAATACATTTCCTTATTTGTTTTATGGGATGAAAGAATGAGTTGTGGAAATTTCCAACAATTATATGAATAGTCTTCATGTTCACAGTAAATTTCGCATAGCCTTTCTCCCAAAAGACCTTATCGTCCAAGCATGAGGGGAATGCAGTGTCGATGTCGCCTAGGCCTCATCACCTCCTCCAGCGGGAGCCAAACCCTTTTCGGAAGCAAGACCAAGTGGACTCCAATGAGATCTTAAGGCCTACTCTTCTAATTGCTGGAAAATTCAGTAGCAACTCCTTCATCATCTTAAATGAAAAAGGATGATTTCGGATTTGCGTATAGTCTCAAAAACTTATTCACAAACCCCACCTCTCAAGTTGCCATGGCAACACCAGCGTACCGGTGCTAGAAGAACAGATGAGCACATGGTAGATTACACAGTATGGATATACCTTTCAAAATCGCCCTGGCAACAAAATCGAGTCACAGCAACCGGGCCAAATCAACTCTGCCATAAACCCATTTAGTAGGAAAGTTAATGAAGTAGATATTCGTCGGACAACCGAAGACGACGGTCGATTTAGGTTGTTATGCAAACGACTTGACTTTAATGCCTCGTTCAGATCGACACAGTCCACGAGACCTCCTCCCACGTTACGTATGAAGATGGGTTGATTTTATGCCAGTCATGCCACTTGACGGTGATCGTCAGGGCTGAAACTCTTTATTGCAAAAGCTTCGAGTTGGTATTAAGTCAAGAACCAACGACAAGCTTAAACGATTCATCAAAACCCAGCCATGCATCTACAATCCACTTAAAATGGCATCATCATGATCGTCATAGCAACAGTCAAATTCTGGTTTATTGCGAGTCTGCTAAAATAGGTCCGTGATCAGAAGACCCTTTTTCGTGATCGTGGGACGTTCACTCGACCTCTTTAGGGCACATTGAATTATGAGAGTGTTTAATAGGACTTTTGCATGTAGATAAAGTCACAAAGCATCCACTTATTTTAGTAGCACAAAATATATCAAAGTGAAGATTGACATCAGTCCAAGAAATTACAACTTTAATGTTTGCATTCTAAGCAAAATTTTTCTTCAAGTACCATTATTATCAATCACACCGACGCGAGAATTATGGGTTGGCTTAAGTGTTTACCAATTTTATCATTCCTTGTTGGGATTGCCATTTCGTATGAAAGTGCAGGATGAAAAGGTTAGTAGATCGACGCGTTGTTCTACGGCCGTTTGACTTCACCACGACGTTTAAATAAACCCTGTCCTTGAGACACCCTTCCCCGGTTCCGGTGAAAATGAGTTGAACTTTCGTTCGTCATGCCACTTGACAAACATCGTCAAAGCAGGAATGCATTCTTTCAAAAGATTCACGTCGAGAGGACTTTTCGGCTCTATCCTAAGTGTAGCGTAAACTCAGCCAAAAACGAAAATATATTGACATATAATTACATGGAATGAATTGACCAGTTCTTTGGCCTATTATTATACATGCTTAAACTTTAATGTGTATGTGTGTCAGACATGCGCACACAAGTTTAAGTACCATGAGACCTACAAAATGGAATTAACCGACGCATTCTACATCCATATAAATATACATTTATATGACAAGCGGGATACAATTGGATGAGCTTTTTAACTTGATGGTAACTTGACGCTTTTGCAAGAATGAGTTCCAACTCTGATGATGTCTCTGAAGTTACACGACGTTTTCGTCACTTCGACTGTAGGACAACGCGAATCATCCGTCGCCTTCCGAGCATTTTACACTTTCATACGACACGAAAAACTCCAAATCCGTATTATCTCAAGAGATTTATCGAAACCCCTCTAAATGCAAAGTAGAGTCCAACTTACTCATTCAGGGATTCTTCGAAAACCTGCTTTTCCTCACATGTCCAATTGCCTAGTGAAGCCCATCAACCCATGGCCTCCCAGCCTCCGTGTTCACTTGGCAACCGATTTCATTATCGAAAAGTCGGACGCAGACTGTCTCGAGTCTCTGGGCCCTGGCGACCAAATTCGTCTCGCATGATCGGCATAAGTAGACTCATTCCTTGCCGCTCTATTGGCCATCGGCCCGGCCACGTGTGCCCACCGACATGTGAGGCAAGCACAAACACTTGATCACGAGTCCAAGTGTCAGGACGACGAATGTGAACGGGTGGTGGGTTGGAAGTGAGGCGAAACTGCTCTCCGCTCGTCAAAACAACCGACTGGCCCTTGATGCATTTACACCACCCAACCTTTTTACTCTCAGCATCAGCTTATCTGGTCCTCTCGACGAGACGACCTCCAATATTCACACAACTCGCCCAACCCTAGCTCCTCTCCTCCCCCTAAACACACGCGCAAACACTCCTTTCATCCATATTCAGCCAAGCCTGACAACCAGGAGAAAACCAATTCATACTCTCCCTCTCTCTTTCTCTCCCAGACACACGCACACACATGTACACACACGCATAACTCGAGTGTCTCTGATGCCTCGGGACTCTGACTGGGCGACAACCTACTACCTCGCCACGGCCATTTGACCTCGTATGCTCGAGCCGACTGACACAGCCTGTCTCCAAGGCCAAGCCCATTTTTGCCAACCGTCCAGTCCAGCCGGACCCGGTTACCCATCGGTGGGCCTGAATTGAGGTCTCTGGCCTGACCCTCTCAGGTTGTCGGGCTTTGATTGATGCAACCACCCAGCGCTCAGGCATGACGCTCAGTTTGAGGCTTGCGTGTGAGTGTGTCAATCTCCAGTCCTTGTGGACAGTTGTCGTTGCTGCCAGTGCTATTGTTGTTGATGTTATTGTTGCCAATATTAACGATGTTTGTGAGCTGAATGTTATCGTTTTTACGGCCGCTGTGGTCGCATCCGCAAGACGAAAGGGTGAGAGATAGAAATGGAAATGGAAATGGACGACTGGCCTCAGACACAAGACGATTAGATAAGTTGAGGAGAAAAGGAGAAGGTGCAGATGGAGGTGGATGTGAAAGGAGGTAGTGAAGCCTGACGATTTGTTTTGTGGAAAGAGGGAGGTACAGAGAAACTTATGTTGGGGCTGTTTTCAGACCATTGAATCCAGGCCGACTGGTGGAGAAGTGGACAGCGGGAAATAGCTATGCTGAACGCCCAGTGATGAAAGGAGAGGCAATACGGGCTGCAGTAAAGAGTGGGAATTCGGAGTCTCCTCACCACCCTAAACGGGAGTCGAGCCCGAGATGTGATGGTACAGTGTAGACTTTCCACATGTTACCGCTACGCCAAATGGTGACAAAATTCATTTCCACCCTCAGACCGACTGGAAATCGGGGCAGTCTGGCGTAAGGGTAACACGTCGTAAGTATATGCTCCAGTACCACAATATGAGTTTGATTCCCGTTAAGGGTGCTGACAAGGCCTAGTCAAGGTCAAAACTGTCATCCATCCTGTATGGGAATACTTTTCGGGGGGCAAGACTAAGTGAATTGCAATGGCATTGTGAAGCTGACTAATAGCATTATAGGAAAATTCACCATCAACATGGTCATATTGGTAGGAAGACTTATTGGAACGTACCTAGTCCGGGGTCCATTGTCTGCATGATCA